AAAGATGGAAAAAGTATACAGAGTCATTGTACCAAAAGGAATTGGTGGCTAGAGAAGAATTTAATAAAACAACATATGAGCAAGAGCCTGTAGTGATGAAAAAAGAAGTTCAAACTGCTCTGAAAAAATTAACATAAAACAAAGCCCCAGGAATTGATGACATACCATTTGATATATTTCAACAAAGAGATGCTGCCCTTGATGTGCTCACCAAATTGTGCCAAGAAATCTGTACGACAATCACCTCGCCAACTGACTGGAAGAGATCTATATTTGTTCCCTTTCCAAAGAAAGGTGACCAGACAGAGTGTGGAAATTATCAAACAATATCATTAATATCACATGCAATCAAGATTCTGCTGGAAATTATCCAAAGACAACTGGAGCAACATGTCAACAGAGAACTGCCAGAGTGCATTCTGGGTTCAAAAGAGGCCGTGGTACTAGGGATATTATAGCTAATGTTAGATGGATCTTGGCTGAAAGCACGTAGTACCAGAATGTCTATGTGTGTTTCATTGACTATGCAAAGGTATTTGACTGTGCAGATCACAACAAACTGTGGATGACTCTCTGAAGAATGGGAATCCCAGAACATTTGATTGTGCTTATATGAAACCTACACTTGAACCAGGAGGCAGTTGTCAGAATAGAGCAAGGAGATACTGCATGGTTCAAAATCAGGAAGGGTTTATTTATGCCAGAGAAGTCTTCTGTCTCCATACCTTTTTAACCTATATGCAGAGCAGATCATCCAGGAGGCTGGGTAGTATGAGGAGAAATATAGAATCAGGATTGGAGGAAGATTCATCAACTACCTGTGTTACATAGATGAAACAACCCTGCTTCCTGAAACCTAGGAGAACCTGAAATGCTTGCTGCAGAAGATTAAGGACTGCAGCCTTCAATATAGATTGAAGTTCAACATCAAGAAAACAAAGATTTTTCACCACTGGGCCAATTGGCAGAACCATGACAGATGAAGAGATTGAGATTGTTAACAGTATTAGTTTGCTTGGCTCCATAATCAACGCTCTTGGTACCAGCCAGGAAATCAAGAAGCATATTGCATTGCAAAAGTCATCTGTCAGGAACCAGGAACCTCTCCAGAGTACTGAAGGGCAATGACTCAGGCTGGAGACTAAGGTGCACTGGAACCAGGTCATAGTCTTTGCAATTTTTTGCTATACATCAGTGAGCTGGACAATGACTAGGGATGCTAGCAAGAGAATTGATGCCTTTGAATTGTAGCTCTGGAGAGGAGTGTTGAA